ATGCTGTTTTTCTTTCTAGGGCACAAATTTCAAACCTTTGTGGGTCTGATGGGAAAGAGAAGCTCTTGGGATTAAGGTATATTTCCCGCAACACTTTCATAAATCTAGTCTCACATCAGCTTACATTTGCCTGGTCAACTGTTGGTTTCATCCCCGCAGGAGCTCTGTGACCCGGCGTCGATTCAAGGCTGAAGATCGGAGAGAAAAACTAAATTTCCATCCGTGTGATTTGTCTCCATTCAACTTTTATAGTCTGTACATATTATTTAATGTATAAAATATATAACATATATAACAAAAAATATAACATTTAGTGCCATTGAAAATCGCCCTAACACTTAAAGTGCACAGAGCGACACCTAGTGGTAAAACAGTGTCCTATATTGCCACTATAGAAATCATTTAATAATTCAAAATGACCAGAGCACGTGTTTAAATTGAGGGGCTTTGTAAAAAAAAAAATTAAATAAAAAGCATTATTTTATGTTTGTTTCAGTCACAAAACTGGTGTTCTCCCCACTTCATAATGAGCACGTTTTCTCATAATAAATCCATCTTACTCTTCAATATCACAGGTTTATTAAGTGACTTTGTACATTACAAATGAAAAATAAAATTAAAAATACAGAGATGGAGTACATAGCCAAAGCAAAATGTGGTGTTGACTCTTCATTTCCCACTGATGGTTTCCGCAGAGTAACTGAAATAACATGTGGGCTGTTTTTATTTTATTTTTTTCAATGTGTCCAGAATCACTGTTAATATTTGGAAGTGTTTTTCTTTAACAGTGGACACGCAGCTGTCAAGTCTCTGAGGATTTTTCTAAACATACAAAAGAAGTTATTACTTCAGCTGGCTCGGTATATATAAAAATAAACTAAAGTGAAATGTAACACTTATGACAATATAAATGGTGGTCCGAGGCTAGTGAACATAGCTAAACACACAAGAAAAAGAAAGCGTTATATTTCAGGAAAAAAAAAAAGAAGCTTTAGCCATTTTTTGTTATCTATAAAAAGGCCCAAGGTGCATTTTCTCGCGTTTTCTACCGACAGTGTTTCGTTCTAGCCTGCTGCGCTGATGGGACGAGGGTTACAGGTTTAACAGGTACACCCAAAACCAAAACAAAACAAAGGATTCGTTAATGCCTTGTCCTTTTCTTACTTTGATACACATTTGAAGGTCAGGTTAAATGTTCATATACTTTAACTTTTCCTGTAAACAAGCATTTCAACAGAAACTGATTGTACTTGTGGGTATTTGTAGGGATGAACCGATTGTGAAACTGCGGGCCAACACAGATGTTTAAAGGTTGGGGAAATTTGGCCGCCATTTATAAAGATTATTGGTATATATTCCATATTCAGCATTTCATTATCATTCTCTAACGATTTATTCAGCACAAAATTAAAGCAAAAGATAAACATTGGCGCGGCCCCCGGTAAATGATAAATCTACACACACCAGTCATTTAAAAGCAACCTTGGGAAGAAAGAAAGCAGCCGATTTGGGGGTGGAGAACAGTATTTAGTATAACAATAATAACATCAACAATAATAATAATAATAATTAAAATAATATGGAAAGTAAACATTCCTTGAGGATGATGAAGAAGATAATGGCTGTTCTTAGGCAGCCAGGGGGCTCTGCAGAGGCTGTTCTGGCCTTACATGCAGACCCCCCCCAGGCCCCCTCACACACCCACAAATGCCCCCAGTGCGCCCTCTAGCAGCTGGGAGCAGGAGCACAGCTGTGCTGGCAGACAGAGCAGGGACAGAAGAAGAGGGGGAGGAGAGCGGGGAGAAGAGGGGAGGATAGAGGAAGATTGGGAGGAGGTGGGGTAACATCAGAGCCACACACTGGTGTCCTGACTGGCAACATTGGCAAACATAAATTTCTCGAGTGGCGGTGGTCCTGCCGACTGTCCTTAAAAGATCTTGCCTTTCTTTTTGTTTTTCTCCAGGGTCCTGAAGAAGAAGAGGGGAAAAGTCAGTGACACATTTGTTCTACAAACACTTCATGTTTATTTATATATGTAGGTTATAACTGCGTAAAACAACAAACACCACTTCATTTGATGATTGCTGAATCTTTAACAACACTGTTCAAAGTTCTTGATGCTCTGACGGAGGCTCTGTCTGCTGTGATGTGAGCCGATAAAGAAGAAACAATAAACCCATTCATATCACAACTGACTGACCTCCCTTGCCCAATTTATCCAAATCACATTTCGAGTAAAATCATCAAATAATATACAAGCTCGAAGCTCAAAGCCTGGTTTAGAGCAGGAGTGGGCAGTTAGTTTTCCCAAAGAGCTACATGAGAAACTGGGAATGTTGAGCGCCTGAACTCAGTTCTACTCAATATTAATTTTATCCCTTGATAAACTTGCACTGGTGGCCCCTTGGGAAAATTAACCCCTGGTTTAGAAGAATGAGAACCTTTGGCTGGTTCAGCTGGCTAAAGTCCATTTTCATTTTTGGCAGAATAAACAGTCTTTAGTGGGGGTGGGCGATATAAACGATATAAATTTGGCCAACGATAGAGATTTTGACTATATCGCTCTATCGCGATAGCGCATGTTGATGACGTCATCAAGCTGCGCCTGTTTTGGTCGAAAGCATCGCAGCGGCTAAAACCATTATCATCTGCAAATTATGCCGGGCGACAGTCATAGCAAAGAGATGAAGCACTTTTGAAATATGGGGAAGGCCAAAAACTGCGCTTCCTCCACTTCCGTAACATTGATTCATTAATGTTGAATTCTCTCGCGGCTGCTCTATTCCCATGTTGTTGCAGTATATTAATAACTAACCCCGTATTGTGGATGAATAATCTCAGTTGTTCTCCTGACTGAAGTTTGGCCCGTGTATAGCATCCTGCTATGCGATTGCATTTGTCCCTGACCACCAGAATCCCTCACGTTAAATTTTATCGAGTGGAAAAAACAAACAAACTTGGCGTTCATCCTCCAGCTTCACTGTGCTAATGTTATGCTAACATAGCTGTGTCGCTAGCAATCACGTAGCACATCATTATATACCAGGTAGTCCAACTTCAGTAACCCTGCAAACGCCACTGCTGTTTAGTTTCCTGTCTTCATTTATCTTGGAAGTGGTAGAAGAGCTGTACGTTTTAATTAGTTTCAAAAATCTCTCAGTCAGAACATGGTATAAAATGTTTAGGTGTAAACTAGCGAGCTAACTTCCTGTTAACTTTTAACTCCGTTAAATTTAATAAATTCTGTTTTCATGGACGCATGGATGTTAAACTTAATTGTTACACCAGGTAAAGCAGCAACGCTGATGATTTAATTAAAGATGAAAGAATTTAGACCGTTTAACTCTTAGTGTTGGTTTGACTTTGGGATCTGAAGTAAACGGAGTCCTTAGGGACTAGTAAAGCGCTATATAAATACAGGCCATTTACCATTTACCATTTGCCAACTCCCCAGTAAGGAAAATCGCTATTGGTTGTCGTAAAAGTCGCTAGAAGTCGCTAAATGACGTCATCGCCTAATTTGCATAATTGTAACCTATGTTGTTGAGAGAGAAATAACATCGTGGAAGAGACATAAAGTGAGTAAAAAACGTCCTAAATGCATTTAGAGTTTATTTAGAACTACAAATTAAATTTCTTTTAGCAATTATTGTTTTTTTTAATGTCACAATTCCAACCCTGCTCCTTTACTTGGGCTTGGACCCGAAATAAGCATTCTGGTGGAGTTACTTTGTGTGTGTGTGTTTATAAGTAGTTTTAAACCTTGTGATCCACAAAACAGCATAAGAGTAAAAGAGTAAAAGAAGAACTGACTGCGTTACAGCATCCGCTGCTTGTTGAGAGTAAAAGCGATACGCTTGTCTGTTTTTAGCGTCTTTTTTTTTTTTGGAAAAAAAGTCGCTAAGGGGTCTGAAAACTCGCTAAATATAGCGACAAAGTCGCTAAGTTGGCAACACTGAATGGATCCAGATTACTCCGCGAAGCTCCTCACTACGGCAGCCGTAATGCTCTGACAATCCATCAAGCAGTGCAGCTTACCAAAGTTGTACTAAAAAAAATTTATACAGATTTTTGCACGCCAAAATTGATTCGAGGTCAGTAAGCACAACCAGAATTCATACATAAGGCACACTCTCGATTGTTGAGAAAATTAAAGGATTTTAAGTGTGCCTTATAGTGTGGAAAATACATTATACAGAAGAAAAGAATATATTGTGATATATATCGTTACTGCACATGCTTCAAATTATATTGCGATATGAATTTTAGGCCATATCGCCCAGCCCTAGTCTTTAGCTGCTTTTTTTTTTTTTAAGCTACCACTTAACAAAATTATTGACCATACATGATACTGTTGGTACCTTCTCAAAAATCTTAAGTGTTATGCTATTTTTTTCAATGTTGTGAAACATTGTCAACAATCGTTTTTGTACTTATTGCCTTTTTACTGATGTGTCATTTTAAGGGTGTGGTCCTGCATGGGTCCATAGTCTTCTGTTTAGAGGATTATAATGGAAATTTGGCCACTGTGGAGACTACAGTGATCCATTCACATGCAGTCCATGTCCAGGGACTGAAACAACCACAGTCAAGCTCACCGTGAAGAGGAAGAAGAACGAAAACAACTAGGATCAAATAAACATTGACGAGTTTCATTCATCTACACAGAAGTTCTTTCAACATTATAACTTCTGTTTTTTTCTTTTTTGCTGTTGCAAAGTAAAAGGACTAACAGCACAAACACAGCAGCAGACAGCCACATGTGCACATGAATTTATTACAGAGCGAGAAAACCTTTATACTGCGCACATTAGGTAAAGTAGTTAAACTTCATTAGAAAGGAAGTTAAGACATAGGAAGCTGCCTCCAAGTCAACTGTGTTTACAACACAGTGAACTGCATCTACCCTCAGCCAAAAATACCATAGAGTGCAACCCTGCTAAATACCCTAAATGGCACAAATTTTTTTTTACATTCATACAACAATCTCACTCACTACACCACATTTCACTGAAGCAAAAAAACACTGCTGCAGCTTTTTTATGCTCCTGTTAGATGGTTTGCTTCCGTTTTGTTGTTTGGCCCTGAAGCTGACACACTTCCTGATAAACACACACAGCATAAAGGCTGAATCCAATCAAGTATTTAGAGGGCTGGTAGTCTGAAAAATAAACAGCATGCAGTGTAATGCAGAATCTAAGAAAATGAAAAGACATAACCCACTAATCTATTTATTCCCCAACCCTGCAATGTGTGATGCATGCACAAACTTTGCATAAAGCTGAACCACAAGGTGTGACTATGATGATGCATATATACACGATCTGAGCCCCGGTGTGTGTGCTGTACCTGGTGGCCTCCATCTGCTGCTGTTGCAGGCGCTGGTGGGTCTCCCAGTTTGCCCTTTCTTCCTCGAACACGCGTCTCTTGTCTTCCAACTCCTTGTGCTGAGCATCCAGGTTTTTTTTCATTTGTTCATGACGCCGTTGAAGCTAATAACAGAACAGAGGACGCTGTAAGCACTTTGGACTGAAGGCAGTGGCACACATGCAGGAAATAAGCTGAGTGCTGCACACACAGAAATGTGAACTGCCACTTTATCTGTGTTCCTGATACAGGCTCAGTTACACAGAAGGAGAATGAATAATCCTATAAAGAGACAATCATAGTGTCAAAGTGAGACCACGTTTTTATATTTTAATTCTTAATGTTTTCGAGCTTATGGCTAAATTTCAGTTTAGTGGCAGCTTAACACTCACAGGAGAGAAAAACACAGCTGATTAAAGAGAGAAAGAAATGAGCTGAAACTTTAACCTCGAGGGAAATTGGACAGCGAATGATCCTGAAAATCATCAGAAGCTCAATTAAATTTTTATTAGTCTGAAGGTTTATTTATAACTTTGACTCCAACTTCTATTTAAATTAGTGACAGATTAATTATGTAGAATATTTAATCTAACACAAAAAAGTGATGTAATTTAAATACTTTTAAGATATCAACTAGGGATGTAGCCTCAGACTACACTCTGCTATTTAATTAAAGTTTTTATATTTATATATTTATAAAGCACCAATTCCCAACACCAATCACCGCATGGTGATTTAAATTTTAAAGGTAAAGAGCAGCACTTAACAACAGCGGTGGAAGATCTCCCAAAGCTATTTGGGGTGGAAGGGTGAAAGAGAAGAGTAAAAAGGACGAGACACAAAGCCACAGTAGTAAAGAGAAGGAAGAGGAGGTTCTCAGTGTATCGCAGGAAGTTCCAAACTAGGAGCTGGTTCCACCTGATACCTGAAGGTGCTGGCTTTTAGTAAACCTTTTAGAAACTTTAGGAACCACAAGTAAGTCTGCATTTTAAGAGCGAAGTGCTCTGATGGGACAAATGTTGAGGTCTGTAAGGTATCACAGGAACTGATCACTGAGGACTTCAGTGAGACAGAGGCTGGATGAAGGATTGACTGACATCCTCTCAACTGAGCAAATTCTCAAATAACCACTGGTGTTGTATTAATGAGACAACAAGTGCTACATCAACACCAGTCGGTGTTTGCATTTCACATATAAACCGCAAACGGGACACATCTTTTAAAACATGACTTATAGCCCGTGCTATAGAGGGTGTTGCATTTACATTTTGGTGCTGGTGAAACTGAGCTGTTCATGGAGGACTTGGAGCTAATAAAGACTTTAGAGAAATGCAGAAGAGAGAGGAGACTTAAGAACTGAATCCAAGTCTCAATACGTACTGTCAGAGATATGAAATGAAGGAAAATAAACATTTGTCTACACTGGTAGAATATTATCTACTTTATTAACATTATGAGCTCACTAAGTTTTGAGGATGACTCAAAGACAGAATTGGTATATTTTAATAACATTTGGTCTAATAACAGTTTTATAACTATCTGGAGCCAGTCTCCTGTCAGTAGCAGTTTGTATTAAACTGGATGTGAAGGCTATTATCTCTTCAAACATTCAAACATCTGCTTTCTAAACATTGTTTTGGGAGACGTAGGAATAAAACCTGCGTGCAAAAGAGCAACGTTCATGTGCACAAAATCAACAGCGCACGCTCTTATAGTTCCCCTCACACGTCTAACCGCTGAAACACGTCAGCATAAGAGGAAGGAAGGAGCCCAGACAGGCAACTTCACTGCTGCATGAATTGCAGAATTCATTAGCCTGTGTGTTTTACCTCTGCTTCAGAGTCTTTGAGCTTCTGCACTTTTTCCTTGACTTTCATCTCGAAAACCTGCTCCATCTCCATCTCCATCTTCTTCATCTTAGTCACATGCTCTCGTCTCTCTTCCTCCATCTGGGCCAGAGGACTCCTGTACAGGAAGCACGCGAAAACATGCACAAACAGAAATTTAGACGTGAACTACAGAATGTGACTAGCATCATCCTACTTATCAGTATATTCAGTATTACTAATGTTTCTAATCAGTAGAATGACTTAATTATGTGAGCTTTTTTAGTCAGTTTTGTCTGCAAATTAAAGTCTCAATTCAGCATTTCCTTTCCTCCAGATACTACTGCATGCAGGCTGGAACATCACAGAGAGAGAAGCAGGACAATGCTTGAAATGTAACCATGAGATGCATCAGTTTGGATCAAACCTTAAAAGTAATTTTATTAGAACTAAATTTGTCATCTGCTGAGCTCACAGAAACAATAAATCTATACAGCACATTTTCATAACTACAAGGAAATCTCGTTACAGTATTATTCCCTTTTTTCCAAACAAAAACAACAGGAGGGAGAAAAATAGAGGCACAAGTGAAGATTTAGGAATGGAGGATCCCAGGCTGCGACAAGAACATGAAAGCAACCACAAACCAATTTTGGGAACCAGAGGAGGGATCCAAAAGTTAATGCAAGGAACCTGTGACCACTGACAGCGAGTGGAGGTGGATTAACATTAGTAAAGCTCACCAGGCTGGTTTGTTGCAGTGTAAGTGAACAGAGACCTGTCATGAAGAATGTGGAGCGGTTACCTGAGCTTACGAGGAATGTAGCTTGTGGGAATGACAACTGGAGAGACGCCCGATTTTTTGTTGTTGTCATTTTTGTAAACATTTTCTATGTTTAAGTGTTGTTTTTCCCCAGGGAGGCTAAACAAATCTGAAGGGGGAAAACAAACAACCCCCCCCCCCCTCCTACACACACACACACAAAACGTGTGCTAGTGGATGCTAGGTTCTTGCTTCTTCACGTTTTTAATATTCTTCATTTAAAAAGTAGTTTCACACGGCAGCAGGAGAAGCTTTGGTGTTTGATTTGAAATCATCAGCTCTCAGCTGGCACAAGTTATTTTCACATTTTTCTTAATTTGAATTTACTTATTTAAAAAAGGGGCAACAGGTATATTGTTGCATCAACGTCCACCTTCGCTGTAGCATTTGTGTCACATACTAATCATGTAACAGGATGCAGGGCCTTGTTTCTATGATGACAACCACACACATTAGGTGCTACTCAAGAAAACCAGTCGATCAGAGCAGAGCCGAGCCGATCAGAGTAGGTACTAATGGAAAAGGGGCTTTAATGAACATATTCATGTAAATATGTTTTTTTTCCCCCCAGTCCTGCTGAAGCAGATTAGCAGATTAGTTTGGAGAGTTAAAAGTCTTTAAAACTTTAAATCTTAATAGAAATGGTTTTCTCAACTCTTTAAGCCTGATACTTTCTATATTTAGTCATCATGCATGCCGCCTAACACAAATCAACATAACTTAGACATAAGTCCGGTTTTGACAAACTTTAAAATGCTAGGCTGATTGAATGAGTCAGGTTTTATAATTCTGGTCAGGTGATAGATGGATTTTCAAAGTATCTCCAAAAAGTTGATTCTGTTCATCTGGACGTAGCGTTTTGTGGGAGAAACGTTTCGTCACTCATCCAAGTGACTTCTTCAGTCTCAGATTTTCAAAGTAGACTACTCGTAAAGAAAGGCAACAGGCTGCCAGAGATATTTTTGTTTCGCATACCTGTCTGCCTCATTTCAAGAGCACGCTATAATTAGAACATTTTCAAAGCTTCACCTGCTGTCAGACTGTCCTTTCCGACAAGGAAGTGAAACTGTTACACTCCACCAGCTTATGTGGACTAAAAGCTAAACACCCAACATGAACATCTGTGGGCTGAGGTAGACTGCCTACAGTTACAAAACATCTGCCGGCTGGTACTGTGAGAATAAATGCAGATGTCTGTTACTGTCTGCATACTATTCTGCTAATATATTTAAATAAATAGGCACACAATAAAACATTTCTGCGACAGAACAAGAAGTGTTCCAGATTTATGTTTGCAGAGTGGCACACATGCACCAGTCAGACTATTTTCATATCTGGTGTAGCCAGTTTTATGTGTTACAGAAGAAGTGTAATGCCCGTTTATCTAGTACACCAGAGGTTTTCAAACTGTAGGGTCACTTAAGGTGGAGTACGGATGATAAAACTAAGATGTGCAATTTTTATCGGGAGAATAAACAACAGTTTGCTGGTGTTATCGTACTAACCTTCATTTTTTTACTAAAATTAAAATTTGTAGTTAAATTGCTAATATTTACAACAATTGTGCAGTGTAAACCTTTATTTCAGTCTTCTAAAAGTATTAAATAAGTAAAAATAATTGCTTAAGTTGCTAATGTCAGTTAAATCTCTAAACTAACATGCATTTTTGGACTGGCATCACTTCCTTCTGCAAACTGTAGATGCAGAGGGAGAGTGGAGAGGTTGGAGACTGCAGTGGAAACAAGACCTGCAAACACTAGTATGGCTTTGCTGGACAAATTCTTCATACAGCACAACTTAAATTATATCTATGAGAAAGATACTGTTTTATTCTATGTGTATATATTTTTTTTTTCTAAATGTGATATATTGCCCAGTACTGGTAACCGCTTAAAACATCTCATGCGCAGGTCTCTGCTGCTAATCCAAGCAGCAGCAGCAGGTGGAGGCAGCAGTGACTATATAGAAGTGGAAAAATTGTCGATTGGAAAAATTGAAAGCATCACAGTCCTGGTTGGTAAACTATAGTGACCAGGAGGTGAGACCGTTCACAGTTTTCCTCCTCAAAACCTTTACTATGGAAAAAGTAGGCGGGGGCAGACCAAAGTCAACAAGGGGGATAGAAACCACCCAAATACAGCCAAAGAGGAGAGGAGAGGAAGGATGTGAAGATGAAGATGTTATAGGTCTCAAAAATACTGAAAAAAAAATTGACTTACATTCCATCAACTGTTTCAAGTCTAAAAAAAACAAAACAAAAACACAACCAAACACACAGACAGACACAAACACACACACACAAAGCATGCAATGATGAGATCATGCACTAAAATAAAACAACACTTATTAGTTTGTGACTGAAGCTATTTTTCACTGCAAAATGGAAAAAAAAAGTGTGGAAAAAATAAGTGTCAGCTTTGTGAGCTGCGTGTCAGACACACTCAGCCGTCGGTCAAATGTTTAGCTGTGTGTTAGCATCAGCAACATGGAGCTAGAGTTTTAGCAGTGTGTGTTAGCCATTTGCTTATGAATGTATTAATGACAATTAATCATTGTGTTTTGAATCCAAGCTTGAAATCAGTGGAAAATTAGTAGAGTGATAAACTACAATTTAAAAAAAAAAACAACAACACATCAGTATTTTTCACAAATCCCGATCACAAGGTTCAGTGAAAGAAGTCATCCTCCAGCTTTGTCTTTCCCTGTTGCCTGGAACCAATATACTTAAATAAAATAAGGATATGATTACATAATGTGATAACACAGCCATCTGCAGTCTCCTATGTGGCAAATGTTCATCCCACTGCTTTCAGAAATCTATTCCACTTAAGTTAACACATGCAAATTTGAAAAATTAAGCTTATGTAAAGTCCAAAACACATGAAATATCAAAAAGTATGCATGAAATGAGTTCAACACAAAACTGCAACATATTCTGCAACATCAGAATCAGCAGAAATCAACTTGATTCTATTAACTTAATTAAAATACACTATCTACACTGTGTGTGCTCTAAACATACAATGCTTTCTGGTATACCCTTCCTTCAGTGCTACGCATTAGCTTCATTATATGTGATACTAAATCCAGAAGGCTTTAAAATTTAGGTTGAAAAACGCAGCTGTTACTCGGGCAGTTTAACAGCAGAGGTAACCTCAACCCCTTTAGCTACAATTGATGTGTCTAGTGCCTTTTGTCTAGGACTTACTTGGTGGACAGCTGTCCTTTAGCCTTGTTGTTGTCCACTCCATTGTAGGTGACAGCGGCCAGCTTCCTGCTGCGATAGTTTTCATAATGGACATTGTTTGTCACGTCTTTCAGGTCCTGCATGTGAGTTCTGGGGTGGAAAAAGAAGAATATATATACTTTAACTGCGCTTCGAGTTATACTATTTTTTTAAAATGTTCTTAATGATAATCGTAGTTACTTTGAAAAACGTGCAACATTATCAGTTGAGGATGAACTGGCTTAAACTGCAGCTGGTGATGCAGAAGATCACCAGAGCAGAAAGGGGACATACATTGTATGTACATACATTAGCTGCAGTCTAAACTGATTGGCTGGACCCAATTTTTTTATATCCAACTAAACCTTAAATGTTAAATGGAAAAAAAAAAAGAAAAAAAGAAAGGTTTTTGAGGAACACAAAAACCAACTTAAATGATATAGGGCCTCAGGAAATATCTTTAGTTACAGTCTTAGTCACTGTGGTGAAATACCCTGGAGAGGCTTTTGTGCAGGTGTTTAACGAGACTGGGAACTTTTAACATTTTAAACCACTACTTAAAAAAACAACAACAAAAAAAACCCCACTACAAGCAATTAAAAATAGATCTTTAAAAACTGAAGTAAACACGAAAACCATCTAGTCAATCAAAAATTCAAAACAAAATTACAAAAACAGGTAATGGTGGAAAAATGATACATTAACTATCTGAACCCCGGGTTAACCCCGTACCAGTGTGAGACAAGATTCTCTCTGCGAAAGCAACTAAGTGAAACTGATATTACACCAGTGTGCCTGGCAAGGGAAACATGAGATGGGACAGGCCAGAACGGAACTTTCAAAATAAGACCGGGCTGGTTGTCCAGTCACTGATTGTGTTCTTTGAAAAAGAATATTTGTTTTTTTTTTAGATTATGAAAATTTAAAAACACCAAAGCAATGCACTAATGAGTGATGTAATAAGGTCTATGTGTAGGAAACAAGGGTTATATCATGAGGTCTTTTTTATCCAGTACCTGATGAGCATATCCCTGAGGATGGTGAAGTCGCAGTGGTCACTGTTTTCAACTGTAATGAAAAGTAAGACATCAGTCAGTTATCAGGATAAATGTTTTTTACATAATCTTGTTTGTAGCTTAGACTCAAGTAACAGTTGCAGTCTAATCCAATAAACCATGCAGAGAAACATGCATGCACATGTTTCTAGGAACTCTGTCCCATCATAAGACTCTTTTCATTTGCTTAGATGCATTTATTACACATTCTGTCTCTTACCTTCTGCAACCCCCCAGGGGTACTGTCTCCCTCTAACTCTCTTGCCGTTCACTTCGATGATGGTGTTGCTGCCTACCACAGCTAGTGGCAACTTGTCCTAGCAAAAAACAAAGCATTTACCCTCAATGATTTTTTTTTTTGTTGAAGTATTTCAAGTATATGAACCTGTGGTTACAACACACTAGAAGACACTTACTTTTATTTTTTTGACCAATCTGTTCTCCTCCTCGTCATCCGTCTCAGGAAACTCATAAATCTTTATTTTATGTTCCTGGATTTCCCTCATGATCTATCAGGAGGAAAGAAGGCCGTTAAGTCATTCTGACAGACAAGAAAATGGTTAAACAAGAGATCAGGGTGTCATTTGTAATGTGTCTGTTCAGAGGACGGTTTATATTGGTAACTGTAACATTTTGTGGGGGGGGGGATTCCAAGCAGGTGAGTGTTAAGTTGTCTTTGACACCAGCTACATTTGTAACACAAAGTTAAGTTTACAATGTTGGCCAAAACAGAAGACTGATCTTACGGTGGATTGATGACATTTTTTTTTAACAAAAAGGATAAAGAACCTTACACACAAAGGTTGTGTAGACCTACTACCACCATGCTCAGGACACTACATAGAAACGCAGTGCTAAATTTAGCTCTCTGCAATACCACCTTGTTTTTGTATTCACTGACAAATGCAACACCAAACATGGTGTTTTCTACTCTATTATCATTCGGCATCAGTCATGCCAATGACCACAAGGGAATTTAAAATAAATAAATAAATAAAGGAGCCTCTGACATAGTTGTTCTGCAGGACTTTGCAGCTGTGGAAACCACTGACCTGCTTCTTAAACTGCTGGCATTCCTCAGGGGTGAGAGTGTCTGCTTTAGCGATGAGGGGGATCACATTCACTTTCTCATGCAACCGTTTCATAAACTCGATGTCGAGGGGCTTCAGTCTGCAGAGATCAAAATACAGCTTTACATTTCATTGAAATAATGCCAGACGTTTACAGACACATTGACTCAGTGCAGCACATTAAAGCATAAAATAAACTGCCAAACTACTGTTGTGTGTACTCCTCGCTATATATAGAAGCTACTAGGATAGTTGAGGGCAGACTGGTTTTTGACTACGGCTTCTTGATCGGCTCTTTTGTAGACTAGATAAGTTGAGCTAAACTAAATATAGAACTCCTTTACACCTTATGTTTGTAATATCTGGGAATATGACCTCTCAGTCATGGGGAAGCATTGCTATTTTTGGTTGTTTATGAGCTGGAGAAATACCGCAGTACCTTTGGATTTCACTTTGTATTTTATTATCAAACACAATCATGTCTTCTATTGATTCTTTGAGGTTAAAGTCTAAATGTGCCTTGAAATAGAATATGATGCTTTAAGATAAGACTGATATCATGTGGTTATGCAGGCTTGTATACAACACAGTGCTGCTCTTAAACTCTTTGAGACAATCTGCAATGATGCAATGCAGCAATGAAAAGCTACCTAATTGAGTCCATTTCATAAAGGAAGTTCGTATGGGTGAAAACACACAGGTAATCTCTGACTTTGATAATACATTAAACAATGCAGACAGTTTATTGGCACATGCTGAGTGATAATTTAGCAACTTCACACACACACAAAGATCACAGAAATCACGCATTAAATTCCTGAAAACAGGGTCCGAAGGTGTGGAGTTTTCCCAACTTTGACTCCACACAAAATAACCACAGGAATTTCAGTCCATCAACGCCCTCTGTGATTTAACACCAGTCTGGCTAAGCTAAACGTGTCCCAGATTTATCTCTTTACTGAGAAGAAAATAATGTGGAACCCAGACAGACATATTTCCCCACACTGTCTTGTACAAATATTGTTACATATTTTATCAAAGAAAGGGAGGGAGAAAGGAAATCATAAGTGGTACAGCATTAGCAAAACTGGTATTGAAATAAGTTCATTTTAATGAATACATTTCAAAAGCTAAATAATTCTTCTAAACATCAGGGTTAAATCGTGTTAAATAATCAAGAGCTCAAATAAGACCAGAATAACTGATCTTGTGCTGTGCTGATAAAAGTATTTTTTAACCCAATATTTGTCATTCATGTCTCTGAAGAAAAATTAAGGCATGACTATAATTCAGGATGCGTTCTTTGTGCGATTCTGGGACTTTAAAGATGTATAAATCCTAATGCTAATATCCTTTAAGTTTTTGCAATTTTTTGGTTAATTTATTCTGAATCATTTCCAGGGAGACCTTATCTTAAAAAAATAAGCATTTAGCTTGCACAAAATCAGTCTGACAAAACAAACAGCCAATCAGATAAAAGAAAACATGTCAACTTATGCAAATGACAGCCAATACAAATATGTAGCCAGTTAGTGTTTCCCTAAAACTATCCAAAAGAAAAACAGATGGACGGGAAAAAAAAATCAGTTTTATGTTAATAATGTAATGTACTCGCATTTATAAAGTGCTTTTCTAGTCTTACTGACCACTCAAGGTTCTTCAGACTACAAGACGCATTTTTAACTACATATTGAAAAGCACATTATTCTGTCACTCTATCCAGCTCACATCCAGGGACAATTTAGAATCGGCAGTTAACCTAAAATGTACGTCTTTGGATTTATGGAGGAAACCACTCTGCCCGCACACGCGCCACAGGGAAAAAAAACAGGCAAGCTCCACACAGAAAGGCCCCAACACTAACTGCTACGCCACACATGTCACCAATGATGCAGGAAAGGATTTAAATATACTGACACAATTATGTAAAGGTATCATGTAAATTAATATTGATAATATGACCTAGATTTAATATTATACATAATTCACGCATTAGTGCAATTTGGATCCAAAAAAAATTGTGGTAAAAATTGAAGGATGGAAATGTTACCATTATATTAACTGCTATTCATCATTGACCGACCACCCTTGGTACAAATTACACTTTGCACTTTGTTAAAGAGAGCGATTCTGCTTTACTACCACAATGGCAGGAAACTGTTCGCACCTACAATACACACCACAGAAGAGACTCTGCTGTTAACTTAAACCCTGCACTGTCCACATCACTTTATACACTATTACAGTGAGTCACTTTTATGTCAGCTGACATCTGCTGTGCTTGTTTTCTTCCTATATTTAGTTACTTTGTACCCACTCTGTAACACTGCTTGCTAAAAATCTAATAGCTGCAAAAAAAAAAACAAAAAAAAAAATCAATAGCATCCTACAGCAAAATCCACAACCACTCAAGTTTCCCTTGTATTTTAAATAAAGTCTTCCTGGATGCTAATCTTGCAATACTTTGAAGTCTTGAACTGAATTCAGTGATTTATGAGACTTTTCTAGACCTGCAGATAACCTTGACGTCACATCAGCCCCTCAAACCCCAAAGGAAAACCAGGGTTTAGCTGCGGGGGTTGTGAATGCCAGAGCATATCACAATGTTGGAGGTCATTGTGCGGCTGTGTGAGAGCAGTCAGCTCTGTTATGAAGGGGTGCTCTGTGAGTGTGCAGTTGTGTTTATGCCAGAGCATACGCTGCCCATCCTCAAGGATAAAAGTAAAGCTTGTGTGAGTACAAATCGCGGGCTTGTACAAACACAATGTCTCACAGAAAGCAGATGAGGACACAAAGGAGGACAGAGCCTGGTTCACGGCTTACAGTAGGTCATGATCAGCAGATTGAAAGGCATGTGAGTAAGCAGCGATATTTGCATATTAATGAAATCTGCAAAGCCACACAGCAGACACAATAAGGTCAACAGATGTGACAGAGAGCAACCATTCACTTTAAAAGGAATAAAACCAACTCGTGCATTTAAATACATTTTTAAGAGGTTTTTATCTTGTTCCCCCCCCGAGGGCAGGAAATAACTACTAGAGTTTCTCACGTTCACTACTCTCACACTTTCTCATCTTTAACCAACATGCATCATCCATGACACGTAGACACACATAGAAAAAAGGCCATATGAGCACACCAGCCTGTTATAGAAGACATGGTAGCTTATGAATGATAAACATTATAATTAAAATTCCACAGTCATCTTTTTGTCATCAGTATCATCTGCCGGGCATTGAGCCAGCGTCTCAGTATTGCTTAGAACCCCCACACACTTATTTCTCCTTTTAACAGGCCCACTTTTAACCCTTATTTTGCAAGTCAGGCTGACTCAGTCTCACATTATCACTCACAACGGGTGGGGGTGGGGGAGTCTAGTTGTAGGAGAAAAATAATGTCAAGATATGAATTTACTGCAGAAATTTAAGCAGTCCAACATGACTACCGCTCAATGCTGTTAGTTTCAGAAGCAGTACGCACATCTAGCACCTCCGTGAAAGCCATATTAAGTGAAAATGCTCAGGGAGGAAATGCTACACTACCGACCGTTCTCTGAATTTTCCAGGCTGCACAATGATCTCAACCAGCAACCTTTTCTTCCACTCACAACCCTGCTTCACTGACCTTTGAGGCACTACTGACCCTTCATTTCCCTCCTTACACTATTTCCTCTCACTGTTCACCCTTCCCCTTACTACCTTTTCCCTTTTCCAGTCCAATGCTTTTCATCCGCTAACTTCAAACCCAACAATCATGTGGCAGTTTAAGAGGTTAATTCTCTCTGGATATGCTTGTAGTAGCATTGTATAGTGTTAAAAGAGGTTCTTGATAACAGTTGTCTTTAACGGAATCTGTGTCCTAGACTCACCCATGTCCTGAAGGGGCAATGAAGTAAAGGCAGCAGTGGATTCGGCTGTCGGGCATCTGCCTTCTATTCACTCGAGATTCTGAGTTGAGGTAATCCTCGAATTTGCTGTCAATGTGGTCGATGACTGGCTGCCAGCTGTGTAATACAAATTACAGCTTCAGTTAAGTTATTGCTGGGTCTTTGTTTCTTAACAGGGAAACATTTCACTAGTGGACTCGAGTGACAAAGGTGCACATAAACCATTTTATGATTATTCCTTGGATAAAAGCTGTTTCAGCAGGAATGTATCACTTTTTAAGATAGGTCAATTAGATTGCTCTTTATAAATAATCACACAGGTATAATCAGGTATAAGTGGACTTTAGGAGTCTGAAATTGCCAAAAACTGTTTTCTTTCCCCCTTCTATCTCATTTGTTATTTTCAAAATGACAGGGTCATCAGACCAGCTTTTATCATGTCCTGTCCAAGTTGTATGTGGCAAAATGTAATGAAGTTAAAGGATCATATTTAACAAGTGTGTGTCTATAAAACAACTCTGGAGTCTTTGATCTGTCATGATAAATGTGTCACTACAATTATCTGATGTTCTACATTATATATAAGACAAAGAAGTGTGAAGAAGTTTTTGAGGTGTATATTTCACCTCCCCATAGTGAGAAATAGATATTAAGAATAAAAAGTTGATCAAGTGGTTTAAATAGGTGACATTTATTAATGTGATTCTGGCAGATAATGGGATTTTTCACAATAATGAGCCAAAAAGACAAACATACAAAGCACTTGAATCCACTTTTGAAATCTGCGGAACTGCTGCACCCTTCTTCTGAATCAGGAATGTCAGAGAGTAGCTTTGATATTTTAAGGATTACAAATGAAGGTGGTGGTGACCCTTACCAATTACTATTATCGACAGCATCTCCAAACCCTGGGGTGTCAACTATTGTAAGCAGCAGCTGGACACCGCCTTCCTTTATTAAAACTTTCGACTGCTCCACCTGTCAACGAAGAAAGAATGACAGGAATGCTAAGTTTTACTTCTCCCATAAACTGCGCCTTTGAAACCAAACCTGTTTAGTAGGTAATGAAAACACAGTATGGAAGGAGTGGTGTAAAATGATTGTCACGTTAAGGTAAGTGTATCTAAGATTTCAAAACTCATACAGAAAATATTTGGCAATGGGCAGCATGTAGCAACATGCCTTCGCATATTGTGCTATTGATAACTATTCTGAAAAACCAGAAAGGCTTTGAAGCAAGAGTCACACAGCACTTTAGGCTTTTAGGATCTAGGACGGTGTTTTGTAATCAAGGAAGATTAACATGAAGTCATGTGGTCAGCTGACGGAAAGTCTGACTTGTTCAAACAATTGTGAGAATAATTTCACAAACTGGGAGAAAAATGTAAAAATAACAAAACCTTTTCAACACCCCATGACTCTCCCCAGCTTCCAATATTCAGATACAATTCATGATGACAAACACCATAGTAAAAACCATATTTTTTTTTTCTTAATTGCTCAATCTGCATGGCATACATTCAGGCTTTTAAGACTTTTTAGTGTAGTATTTTAATATCCCATTTTCTTTAGAAAAAAAAACGTTACATGCATCACCCCCAAAAAGCTGCCTGGTACTAAATAATAGCAGAGTCTGACAGTGATCCTTCAGCTTTACCACGTCTATCACATATAGGACAATGAATGAAAATATCTAAATTTAATCTCGTGTTTATTATCAGTACCTCTCTGGATATAGCGGTCCCAATGATAACTGCAATATTTAAACAATAAAAACTCAAAAATTATCTGCAGTGGAACATTTTCTTTAATATCTGATTCAGGTCTGCTGCCACAAGGACAGATAAAGAAAAACTTTTATACCACAACACCTGTATTGCTTAAAGATAGTGATATTATTTCAGCCCAGCACATGCTGTTGCAGGTTTAACTGATTTTAAAAGAGGTATTTTTGTCAGTGTGTACCTGCACAGTCTTTTTGATTCTGTGTGATGGTCCAGGATACTCTGCTGAATACAGGTCTGTTAGGAACAGAGAGTTGATCAATGTGGACTTGCCCAGTCCAGACTCACCTGTAAAAAACAAACAAAAAAAACCCACAAAACAAAACACAGTGAGATTGTGAGACACAGTATCACTCAGAATAAGAGGTTTAAAATCACTTGTAACACAGCTATACAAAGTCTACTGCTGGCATCTTCCACACAAGAAAAGACCATGTGTCTAACTGGGGATGCAAGTAACATTTGCCCAAGACATTGATCCATTTGGGTTACCAGTTAAAAGGCTAAGAAAACAACATGAACAATGGCTCTTGTTATGTGCAGCTGGCTGGCTGTGGAGTCCGGGAGACTTCTCATGCTTGGGTTTCCATTGTGCGTCCAGTGTCCAAGCTCCCAGAGAAAAGGATCATTAGTGGAAACGACCACTGGCACTGCCCGACTTTGCTGATGGCCATATGTCAATATTTAACGAGCCACCATTTATGCCAGAGCTACAAGCAAAGGGTAATGTGTGGAGCTCGTACTGTGTCATCGGTTTGTTGTACATTTTATCACCGTATGCAACAATGAGCGAGAAACTGCGATCTGAATGCCTGACAAGCCTGTGAAATGAGCTGCTGAACAGGTTGTTGGGTCATGTGATTTTATGAGGCATGCAGAGATCTGCCAGCCAGCCAGCCACTGGTGGTGATGCCATCTCAATTTCTCCTTGTGCTTCCCTTTATCTTTTATCCTTGACTCCTATCACACCGCGCTGGTGACGCATTGCGTTGTATGTGAACAGCACTGCAGGGACATGTGGGCTCGCAGCTAGTTGGAGCCAAGAAAAGCTGAGTGTGAGTGTGTCCGTGAAAGCGGGTGATACCATAAAAACAATAGCCACCATTTAAGCAACAGAAAGCCCAGAGGACCTCCTCTTCTTTCCTTGTTGCAAAGCCATTTGTTTAATCTTTTCAGCAATTATCCCCAAAATGAAGATATTTGTTACAAACAGAGCGAAGCATTCACAGCCCCCAGAGGCCCACTTGGTCACTATCCAACAGCAATAGAAGTGAGGGGGGAGCAAAAGTGATCTTCTACTTCAGCTATCTAATAACAACATTTAAGAGACAGCTCACTAACAGGTTTGAACATTTATTAGCAGCAATAATTAAAGAAAACTGTGCATTGTTAATGCAACGAGAGACGTCACTCTCGTAGCATTAACAACGCACAGTTTTCTTTACTGGCTTTACTTAGATGCATGCTGGGTATGAATTCTCTTGGTCCCACCACAGGAAATGGCTTTGACCCTAGGATACACTGTCCCTCCAAATACGGCCTCATCAGCCAAGGAGGATCTTGGCACAGCGTCAACCACCACATCCGAGCACTGTAAAAGAATGTCTGCATTTCTGATTCGCTGAGTGCACTTTTAGATAACTCCAACCCAAATGCTTCTTTGCTGAGAGACAGTGTCAAAGATCTGACATCGAGATGAATTCGAACAGGAATGCAATCTGCGCCCCTCCTCTTTGACTCAGCAATTAACACTACAAAGCTGGGGGTCTGTCCCTTGTGTATAAATATGGCTGTGTATACACACACAAACCCGTCTCTCTCTCTAAAATAAACCACATAGTGAAGGATGTTAAAATGCCAACCGCAACGAATACAATGAAATGATTCAAACAAAACAAGGGAAAACTTGAGTGGCGAGCAGCGTGTGTTCTTACCCACGACCATAAGGGTGAACTCAAAGCCCCTCTTCACCGACTTCCTATAGACTTGATTCGGGAGGCTTGCAAAGCCAACATATCCTTCTAGGTTCTTCTGTTGCTGTAAGAAAGTTAAAAAAAATTAAACCACAAAGAAATCTAATTTTCTAAAGTGTAAAACAAAAAGTCATGAACAAACTATGTTGCCTGAATTGAAACGGACTCTCCACTGTGTTGGATTAAGAAGAAAAAGTATATTCTCACATCTTTATTATGCAACTGATTAAGTTTACACTGAAAGTATTCAGAAGCCACAATATTCAAGATGTGTTATAAATTTAAACCATAAAGCCCAGAATGGAGCTGTACACATACACATCAATGTTGGGCCCTTTATCAGCCATGATTTCATGCGTGATATGAATATTTCAAATACCTACATACTGGTGAATAGACTAAACATCCACAAGGGCTTTCAAAGTCGTTTAAATGTATTACACTGTTGGCCACTTGCTAATGAGTGTGTTTAGTGTATCAGCTGTGTACCCTTATCGCTCATGGCTTGAACCATAATACTCATATACCTTAATACAAAACAACAATACATACTCTAAAATTAACTCTAGTCAACAGGGCATGACACAGACTCTAAAACAAAAAACTCTCTCCAAAGCTATAAAAATTGTCATGAATGGCATGCTGGGTAATGTTAGCAAGCCAGGTAGCATTTGGGAGGGGCTCCATTGCTGAGTTTAAGAACAATACAGACAGATGGAGGATAAAGAAAGGGGAGCAGAGCTGCCCGGAGACAGGGGCCATGTCAGCTGTTGGGAAGGTTTAAAGTTTTAAACGAAAGAAGGAGACCTGTTTTGCTTCCTTTCTGGTCATGCTGATTCTGTGCTGAAATTTCACACAGTGACAGAAGACCAGGCAACGCAAAGACAATGTGCTATTCAAGGCTAACTGGTGTTTCTACCTGGAGGCAAAATCATTTGGGCAACAAAGTTTGGAAGACTATGTTCAAAAAAAGAGTTTAATTCAAAGTAGCTTTTGAGGCAGAATTTGTTTAACGGCAACAAAAAGGTGCCATTACATACATGTTAAAGGTATAACAGGCAGAATGACTCTAGAGCCTTGTGCGAAATATTTCCTTTAAAATCAAAACTTAAGAGTAGGCTTTTTAAAAATGTTTTTAATTGGATCTACGTCTGACAAAAAATGTCATTTTAAATCTATATAAAGATCCAGTTACACTAAAATATTTAAAATAATACCACGACACACCCTGAAAAATACCACAAAAATTTTCTTTATAATGTCCAGCGTAAGTTAATACCACCATAGTTTATTTTTTGTCAATGTTCTGTCTTGTTCAGTCACTTGTCTTTGGTTTTCCACAGTAAAAAGGAAAAACTATATCAAGCATCACACATTCTGGTTTGTATTCTGAGAAGCTTATCGACAAAAGACTGCTGAAAAAAATACTGCAGTCCAGTTACATTTCAGGCATGAAACATATTTTTTATACTTACAGCTGTTTGGCATTGATGGACGTAATGAAATCCCAGCATGTGCAGGAAGAGCCAACATTTCCAGGGACAAAGAATCACAGGGGAGTGCACAGGAAGACAAACAAAAAAATAATTTAGAAATCTCAGACAACCTGACAAACCAACTATCCTGTCTCCAGAATCAGCTTCTTTAGTTGTGAGGCCTGCAGGCAAAATAATTCACGATCTAAGCAATACAAGCCCGTTTTTGCTCCTGTAATGTCAGTAGCACCATAAAGCAAGCTTCACCAACTGCTGCAGATTTTTCTTTTTGCCTGTGGCTATAAGAGTATTTCTGCTTCTTACACCAAAGCATCTCCTGCCCACCAACAGCAGCCCACGTGTCTTTTGTGCGATACCAAGACATAATGTGCTGATTTGCCTACCAGAAATGCAATTTAATTTCAGCCGTATCATACTGCCTTAGTTTTGGAAATACTGTAAATTAGGTTTTGCAGACAGGCATTACCAAACAGGTAATTTTTTTAAGTATGAAAATATGAGAACCGACATTTTAAAACTACAACCGTGTGTTTCCTTTCCGGTATTTCGTGATAGGGCTGCTAAAGGAAGTGGTGGCAGGTGAAAGCTAAAGTTTGCTTGTGCAGATTTTAGAAAGCTCTGCTCCGTAGAACACCAAATCTGGTGTTTCAGTTTGACACAGCGACACGGGGGTGGGGGAGCAGGTACAGCATTCTGACTTAGAGGCCACGGTCTGAAGCTAATGAACTTAAAAGTCAAAACATGAACTCTGAGGTACTAGATCCACTTTAATCCAGATTAGATGGCAGCATTGCCTTCCTCCCCCTCCTAACTTGCCACATCCCCCAGAGTTGGCTTTGACTGCCTAACCCAGATACTCCAATCATGGGAGTTTGATCAAATTATTGATCACGCACTAATGCAGCACCCATTCCTGGCTAAAAAAGAGCTTTAAAAATTATGGCTTTGCGACTGCGACACACACTCTTTTCTACATAGTGCTACTTAATTCTTTCACACGTTTAGAAAAAATGCTAAACCGAAAACCACAACAGCTCAACGCTTCTTGAGGTTGAAAGCATGCAACTTAGCATTAACGTGAGCTGTTTAAATCCGAAATACGACACCAACTTAGCTCATTAGACAAAGTACTAACATTTGTAGACAGGCTTTGTAAAAACAGTGACCGGTGGTTAAGGTGTTAGCACATAAAACACATAGAAACGTTTAATGGGAGACTTTGTCGAAGAGCTTAAGACAGGAAATGACACTCCCGTTAGGTTATGCAGCCTGCTCGCGAACCGAGGCTAACAACTAGCTAGCTACAATCCTACTGGAGGCGGGCGACTGGGCGTTGGTTGCTCAGACAACTACACAAGCTAAACCAAGCGAAAGCCAAAATGTTAAATAGTGAATTCCGTTAACTGAAATAATCACGGTTACAGTTTAAAACAATGTTTTCTGAAAAATTTGTGACATTAGCTGCCTGTAGCGTTCTCACCCATAACGTTGACGCTCCCTGCCGTCTCAAACACCGATCATTCACAAGCCGACATTCCCCTCACTGCTTTTGCTTGAGTTACGCACAAAGAGGCACGCAGCGCCTCCCACACTCCACGAAACTATGCCAAAAATGAGACGTAAACGTGTACGTGAATCACAAAGGGGAGGACCACTGCAGTCTCGCGATGACAATTCGTTTTCTTTGAGTGCTGGTGTGATCTCGCGAGAATAAACCACAGCCGAAACAAAACTCATTCTTTCTTTGTTTCTTTAGTCACAATCTTCTTTTCGAGCACGTAAAATCAGTTTCCCATCCTTCTCAGTTTAGTTACACGTGGTCATAGGTTTTACTCGAGAAATGGAAAAGATACATTGCAATTAGTGGCTATGGAGATCCTCCCCCATGAATTTTTTGCGCACTTCATTTCCTGCATTTTCGTGTGTTTTTTATGCAGCAGTTAAATATTTTCTGCCCCGTTTTATGGCGGAAAGGTTCTTGATTCTGTCAAGGAAACATATACTGGGGAAACTCATTTTGTGTTGGTCTCCATATATTATTCTCACCTTTAAAAAACTAGCATCACTGCTAGACATATATAAAATACTTTTACTTTTTTGTCTTTCTGAGATCAGCAGTAACTTGCTGTGCTTAACTGTGCATGTGTTGATATTTCTAGCCTATTTTAATTTATCAACCACTCAATTTTCTTTTTAAAATTTGATAGGGACACAGTAGCCTATAGTCACAATACAAAGTATGGGGCTGATGTGCTGCACAGAGAGTTAACAGGATGATTGAAAACAAGGATAAACAAACATCTTTAGATTACCTTGCAAACTTTGCAACAACACATCTAAAATCAAAAGGCAGTGGTTCAGCTTAATTTGTTTATACTACTGGCATCTTCTACCATCCCCCCTTTTGCAGCCAGAGGCTAGACTGCATCTGCTGAGTAAGATCACAATGAACAACGTTTACCACAAAAATATTCAGCAACTGTATTTACTCATAATTCCTATTTGTTGAGTGAACTAGTGAGTGAAGGAGGACTTGCCACTGTCACAGACATAATACACCAATATGGTGCAAATGCATTTGAATGCTGGTCTTTGGGGCTTGTGGAAATTATAAGAGAAACACAGCACTGAAAGAATCTTGAACTGGAATGTATTCTCTCTTCTGCAGCAGCAAAGATGGTGATATAAGTACAAATTTTACGTTTTTTAAGGCCTTATTTAGTTCAAAGTCTGCAAACTTTTCAAGAGCTCTTTATCAGATTTAACTGGTGATTCTATTTAAGTAATTAGCATGTACCAGTGAACACTGAAATTATAGTTCATTTAGATAATGCTTCACAACTGCCCAAATAAGTCATTTGAGGCATTCAAAGTGACTCCAGAGTTACTAGACTTGCTGTAGACAGACTTAGGTGTCCTCACTCCAGTGTTGAGATGTGTTGTTCGACGGAGTTTTACTGAAGCTCAAAGATGACTTTCAGACAGAACCACAGCCTAAATAACAGCTAACAGTTTTATCATGTATTGAAATAATGGAGGAACACAAAAAGTCCATAAAAAGCCCCCATTTATACTTACAGAAGTGGGGAAAACCACATTCAAATAAAATTACATATTTGATTTTTATACCACAGTAGTGACAGTGTCTCACAATGTCACCCTTGTAAATTGTGAAATCTTAAAAGGTCTTAGCAGTGCAACAATTAAGTCAGTATGGTTTTACTGTGTGGAATTGTAGGACCAGCAATGAAAAATTCCCAGATTTGTGTCTCCACAAGAGGAGCCTGGTGGGTAAAAGCTCTACCTCCATTTGTACTTCTGGAAACTAGAGGAACCATAAATAGGCCTGCAATCTGAGAACGTTGCCACAAGGACAAATACAGGAAATCATTCATACCTTATGCAATAACTCTTAGCAATGCAACACATCTGTCTAGCAGTTAATCATCTCTTCTCTCATGTTAATATTTTACTTCAAACCTGTACTGTCACAACTTTGACCACTGTGTGTGTCGAGGTTTGCTGTTGAGTTTGAGATATTTCATTTTGTTATGGCTGTCACAGGGTACACTCTGGACAGGTTTCCAGGGTGTCACAGGGTTTACACAGAAAAACAGAGAACCATTCATGCTCACATTCACACCTAAGACCAGTTTAGAGTCACCAGTATTTTAAACTGCATGTTTTTATATTATTGGAGGAGTACCTGGAGAGAAACATGCAAAGTCCACTTTTTATTTAAAAGTAACTCTTTCAAACAGTAATGTTTGAAAGATTTACATTAAATTTTTGTCATACTGCATTTTTATATTGACCTGTATAATTATTACCATTATTCATTTTTTTAATTATAGGCTGTTTAACTTAATGTTTAGCTTATATGACAGAATTCCTATTGCTAGGAAACATAAGGAAATTCTGGGTCTTATAATATGTATTAATTTATTCGATTGTTCTGGACTGTGTTGAGAAGTAATGAGAAATATTTTAAGTTATTTAAATTTCCTTTAAAATATAAATTATTTATATATATATATATACGCGTGCCAAGTATTCCGACAGCGTAGCACAAAATACGGCGAGTGAACTGGATGCGCGTCGGTTGTAACCATAGCAACATAGACTAATACTATTTGCTCGTATAGTTGCTGTTGCTCGAATAAAACTAACTCAGGATATTTAATGAGGCCAAATTTCTATAGGCCAAATCAGCTTTCTGCTGCTGGGGGAAAGGTAAGCGACTATAAACGCGACTTTTTTTGTTCGCCTTCTATCAGCGGACCTGTCGTTTTTGGCCAGTGTGAGGTAGCACTGTCGCCACTGAGTTTCTTATGTCTGACTAAATGTGAATATGTGCCAAAATGCTTCGCAGGTTCCTAATGAAAGCAGCGGGGAACGCTGAAAATGTCTGTTAAAAAATTGAAACAAGAAGAAAAACTGACCCCGAAATCCATAGGAACACACAGCAAGTATGCTTGGTTATCTTCTCCTTACAGTTATTTAATTGTTCTTGACCCAGTTCAGAATTCATCTCCGTGATATGAAAACCACAAATCACCTGATAAGCATGTTTTATAGGGCATTTCGTGAACTAAGGAGGCTCCAGTCCCTGCTTGCCAAAAACAGTCCCAGACAAGAGGTGGACAGCAACAACAACAAATGACACCACACCAAGGCTGAATGTCTAGACATTTTAATAACAGACCCCACAAACCAGCTCACATTGTTACCTATCTGTGTGTATTATTGTGGTGTGAGACTCCTTGTGTTTGCAGGTGGCAGTGTTGAGTCACAGTAAAGGATGCAGCAGTGGAACCAGCAGATCCATCCCTCCTCAAAAAAACACAAGTAGACACAGGCCTGAGAGTGACATCAGCAATGAGGCCTCAGAACTGGACAAATTCAGGTTACATTTCCTAAGGACCGCATAATCTCTGAAATAATATTAACTAAAATCTCAAAGCACACAGTTATGAGTCCAAGTCTTTTCTAATACTAATACAAGTAAGATGCATAAAATTAATACATTAGAGGCCCAGTTGACCTTTATTATGTTGACTCTGAAAATGAAAGAATCGTAGGTTGACTTTGTCTAAGATTCAGTAACATGTGCTACTAATCTCAGCTGTGGATATACTGGTAGAGCTGTTTTTCTGTAAGACAGTGATCTGCACTGCTCAAAAAATGATCAAAGTATAGCATTTAGTCAGCTAAACTTCTGGGATATTGATCTGATCTGATATGGTCAGTTAAAATGGCAGAGGGAGTTGTTAATCAGTTTCAGCTGCTTTGGTACTGCTTTGTTGATGAAATTAACAACCGGTGTCCTAGAGGAGTAACAATGAGACAATCCCAAAATAGGAATGGTTTCACAGGTGGATCCCGCTGACATTTTTTCCCTCCTCATCTTTTCTTGCTGTTTTTTTCACTCGTTTGCATTTGGCTAGTGTCACTACTGGTAGCATAAGGTGATACCTGGACCCTACAGAGGCTGCACAGGTGTTCCAACTCCTTCAGGATTATTGATCAGAGATCCCCGCTACATGCCATTGCCAGAAGTTGTGCTTTGTCCACCAGTACAATCTCATGTGCATGGAGATTCCAGGGAGACAGGCAGTTACTTTTCGAAGAGCTGGACAGGGCCAGAGAAGGTCACTTATCCTTAGCCCATCAGCAGGACTGCTGTCTGCTCATTTGTGCAAGGAGAAACAAGATGAACACTGCCAGAGCTACAAAATGACTTTCAGCATGCAACTGATGTGAAAGTCTCTGACCAAAGAATCAGAAACAGATTTAATGTGGGTGGCCTGACAGCCCAATGTCCTTTAGTGGACCCTGTGTTCACTCCAAGCACTGTGGAGCCCAACTAGTATTTGCCATAGAATACCAGAATTGGCAGGTGCATGACTGGTGTACTACAGATCACAGCAGGTTCACCCTGAGCACATTTGACAAACAGGAAAAGGTTGTGGAGCAAATTATGTTGCCTGTAACATCATTCAGCATGACCTGTTTGGTGGTGGGTCAGTGATCGTCCAGGGAGGCATATCTATGTAATATTAATGGGTTGCATTTATATAGCGCTTTTCGAGACCCCCAAAGCGCTTCCACTATTCATTCACATACTGGTGGAGGCAAGCTACAGTTGTAGCCACAGCTGCCCTGGGGCAGACTGACAGAAGCGAGGCTGTCATATCACGCCATCAGCCCCTCTGGCCATCACCAGTAGGCGGTACGTGAAGTGTCTTGCCTAATGACACAACGACAGACTCGAACCGGCAACCTTCTGACTACAAGACAAACTGCCAATTTTTGACACGGGACACACAGACCTCTACAAGCTAGGCAACATCACTCTGACTACCATTAGGTATTAGGATGAAACCCTTGGACTCATTTTCAGACCCTTCACTGGTGCAGTGGGTAATGGCAGTTAAGGAATTGATACCATTGACACTTGGCTGATCTAAATCCAAAGGAACATCTTTGGGATATTATGTTCATCCAACACCACCAGGTTGTTCCTCAGACTGTCCAAGAGCTCGGTGACAGCCTGGTATAGATGTAGGAGGAGATCCTCAAGGACACAATTCATCATCTCATTAGAAGCATGCTCCAATGTACTTGTTCATGCATACAGACATGTGGGTGCTACTAAGCACCATTTTAAGTCCTACAATGAAATTTTGTCAAAATAGACTAATTGGCCCTATTATGTTTTTCCACTTTAATTTTCAGAGTATCTTTGAATTCAGCCCTCTGGAGGTTAATAATTTTAATTCCCATTAAAAACGATTGCATCCTTTCATTCCAAACACAGGACCCAGTCCCTACCTGTATAGATATCCAGCATAATATGTTTTCCATTGATATCTGGTATGTTTTCAAATGTTGAGCAGTGTATATTGTCTCTTTCTGCTTTTTCTACGTGATTTCTTGTTTATGTTAAGTCTGGTTCATTGGGTAATAAACCTGACTTGGAACTTGACTGGATATTGATTTCTCCAGGCAAGTTCCAGCTAAATAATTGCACTAACCTTCCTGTAGCATTGCATTCAGTTTAAATAGTGTTGCTATCGAACTATGTAATAACCTTTCCTTTTTGAAGCACCACACCACACAATATAAATTAAGTACCTTCAAATTTGTTTTTAGATTCAACAACCTAAAGCCAAAGGTCTTCAGTTAGCTTAAGTTTACATATTAAATGAGCAAGGAAATGTAAGGGTGGCTTGCTAAATTAAGAAAAGTAATATCCACATTCAGATCTTTTCAAAGAGGAAATGTTTCTGGACAGCTTTAAGTCCTCTCTATACTTGAGGGAAAACAATAACTGTATTGAGGTTAAATTCTAATCCTAAATGTGACTAAAATGCTTTCAAACTTTTCTGATGTTGGCGTTTGTACATTAATTATACAGTGAAATATTTCTTTAAGGGATTAAATGCAATATGTAGTTCTTTAAAGTTAATTGTACATAATTTTCCTGTCATTTACCAGCATAACATACAGAGACCAAAGATGCTTCAGCAGCCACCCGTTGCATGAACTGTTCTCTGACATCCTTGTGTCTTTGATCAAGAACCGACTGTGCAGGTGAAATATGTTTGAAGTACTTAAACATTTCTTCTGCTGTAATAGATACGGATAACTTCTGTGATAATATTTACTCTTTCAACAGTGAATGGATTGAGCATGCACCTCCTGAGTCAGTCCTTAGAGTTCTCATCTGCCTGCGATTATTGATCAGAGATCCCCACTATCAGGTCCAAGTTTAAAAAACAAAACAACAAACTTTAATTTTTTATGCTTTTAATTTAATGAAAAAACATTTCTGCAAAATAAAAACAACAAATGCTGATTTTATTTTATTTGATTTAGAAAATCCTCCATGAGCTTCAAGGCATCAGTTTACTTGCCAGGGTAAATGCCTAATGTAAAAAAAGAAGGAAAAAAAAACAATGCTTCTTTTGCCCACAGTGATATGATGCCACCCTGAACCCTTCTCTCCTTTGTCTCTCAGTATATGGAGTCTGTCACTGCTCTGTATATGTCGTGTGGGGAGCAGACGTTTGCCACGCAGAAGCTGGTCACAATGACCTGTGAGTAATGTGAAGGCAGACTCACAGAGAAACACCGATAATATAAGTTGTATTGTCCTTATCAATGGCGGATTAACTGACTGTATTCCAGACATCTTTCAGAAATTATCTGCCACTCAGGATCAAAGAGTCTGGGTCATTGAGAGTGGCGCTCACAGGGTAAGTGATAAGTTGTGACGAGGTTATCTGTGACTGTGTGCTGTTTGTTGTCACTGTTTTGGCATGTCTGGGTTAAACCAGAGAGAGTCAGCATAAGACATTCAAAGAATTCTGGATGGAAATCTGCAGGCAGTGGTGACAAAAGTATAAAATCTTTTTAAAATGTTATTTAGAGGGAAATCAATTCATTTTTTACGCATTAAAAAAAAATAGACTAGCATTTTTTATGAACAGTCTTTATACCCCAGAGATCATTGTAATTACAGTTAATTTGGATAATGGTTTGAAAGTGATGTTAAAGTGAGTGCC